AATGGAAGGGGATTTTCGGCCATATTAGAGGGCAAAATGGATGGGTGATGTGTTGGGTATTTTGGCTTGGCTAGTGAGGTGAATATTTGGTGGTTGGGGAGTGATTCATTCTGCCATAGTGGGGGACAGTGGGGTGTGAGAAATATGGCTTTTATAGGGTGGCTTTTATGGTGGTTTAAAGGTCAAAGTAATCAAAAATATCCCTTGGCTTGTTGTGCTTGTTATTTCGGTTGTACTAGGGGACAAGGGGGGGACAATGTTTGTGGGATGTTGGGTGATGAAATATGGTTGTTTGGCTTGGTGTGTTTCGGCCCTAGCTTAGGGAAATGAAAAGGAAATTGACTTATGGTTTTTTTCTTTTGGCACAAAACGTGTTATTTTGATGGAGTGATTCAAGTAGGGAGTGGGGTAGTCTGGGCAGGGTATACGGCTCTTTTTAGGATGGAGATAGGCTCAAGGTTGTCAGGGTTAAGTAATATGGTTTGGGGTTGGAGAATTCATTCCAGAAAGGATCGTAACACTTAGACATGATTCCACTGATTTGTTTAAGGATTTGAGGATCAGGTGTAGTACTAGGGGATATAACATATGACAAATCCAATCTGATTGAGATTGGCAACATTTGCGATATACAGATGTTCGTGCCCGTCAATGGGTTTATCAAAATTTGGACCTACTATGTAAAGAATGAGGGAGGTACCAAACAAATGTGCCCTCGAAAGAATCCTGTACACTTTTTTTGTGTGTGAATGACCTAGTTCATAAATTTCCTGCAGTTAGGAGCTTTACATAGGCAGGGTACTCTTTTCTCATCATGCTCGTCGGGATCAAACAAGTAATCGTACCTATCATAGAAGAATCAAAAACCAGTGAGTGGTTATTCGAGTAAAGTTGGCATTAAATATGTATTATTTCAGTGAGGGCATGCGGGCAGGGCATACGTTAACTCATCCCCAGCTGAAACATTAGTCTTGGCTATAAGAACAATTCGGCTATCATCTTTGCTGACACTAATAATCCTTGCATAGCAGTTGGGCATGCACTGCATTTCCAGATACAAAGAAGCCTTAATTAATTGCGTACGTGGAAACAAAAAACAAGCATATTATTGATCACGCGCTAAAAATTCAAGGTGAAAAGCTCCCATGGTTGAAAATAATGCACTAACATAAATACAAAACAAAAAAAAATACTAAAAGGGAAATCATTAAATCTTAAATACTTCTTTCGGGAATCATAACTTAGAAATACTTATAACCCAGCCTTGATGACAAAGATTATGAGAGCTTACCGAATGATTGATAAGGCGTGCAATGTTTCCCTTATTAGTGGCATCAATGACTACTTCATCGCTGATTTTGAATAGCTGATGGAGACAATTGAGACATTAGGAGCTGATGCAGATGGAATCCTCACACAACAAATAAATAGTCTGTACTATATATGACGTGATACTTCTAAGATAGATCCCAAGCCTCAAAGCTTATTTCAAGTAATTGCTACACAATGCATTGAACTAAAAGCATATATACTTCCTTCTATTGGGGTTTGGGAAGAGAAAATGATGTGGCTGGGGATTAATAAATGTTGATTATACTTGGTTAGTTTCATTGTTTCCCAGTTTCAATATCAATATTCAAATCTTATACACATTTTGCATATGTGGTCACAATTGCATGCAAATAAAAACATAGTAATGCATGACTCACATAACAATCTTTGCCTTCGCGTTGGTACCTCGCCTCCCTCAGATCAACAACACTGCGCCTCACCTTCTCTCCACGATATTCAAAGACCTACAGCCAGAATTGACAACTTTAGTTCATAAGAGCAGATGGAGCATCAAAAGTGCCCGAGAAAAATATATTTCAATCAAAGAGAAAGTAAAGGACATGTTCGATTGCATAAGAACTATTATTAAAAACATATAAATATGCATACCATATCTCCTTCTTGGATGTTTCTTCTAGCAAAAACACCCCATCCATGTATTCCGGATTTACCAAAACAAACCCGGAGGTTTTCAGATTTCTGTCAAATTTAATAATGCAATCATACTTCAATAATAACCAAGGTATAGCTGGATTTAATTTCTTTCTAGCAAGCAATCAATAATGTCCAATGATCAGAGCACTTGCCTGTAGATGACTGAGGCGCTCTATGAATGTTGAAAACCCCTTAACCTCTGATACTTTCTGCAAGAAGATAGAAAATTGAGGTTAGTTGACTTAGCTCAAATAGCCAATTCCCTAGCCCGAATCTAAAAAACAGTCATGGATAAGCCAATTCTCAGAGAGAATGTTTCATTACGGTGTGTGCAGTCAAAAAATCTATCTCTTCCAATGGATGATGCCTTGAGCCCATTAGTCGATGAAATACTCCCACTTGTTTGTTGTGACTCTATCAATCAAAAAATAACCATGAAGATCAGATAATCGGATGGCCAGGCTATAAATGATAAATAAAGGGCAAGAAGTGAAATGACAAAAGAAGGTGCTTAAACTACTCAATGAAAATTAAATGAAGGAAATCAAGAGTGCAATACCTTCTTCCAAGACCTTTTGAAGATGCGACACCTAGCAGCAGAAAAAGGTTCGAGTTCAGTGTTCTCGGGATCTGATGTATCTGGGAGGTCATGACGTGTAGATGAAATGAGCCTTGAAACCCTCATACAACGTTCTCCACTCTGTCTCTGCAGCACATTTCCAGTAGAGAATACCCCTAAGGGGGTCCTCATTACTACAACATTGTCTGCATTTGGGGTTCTGCAATATAACAAGTCATAAGAATATGTAGCACTCCCTCCATAAGTGAAAAGCATGGACGTTAAAAGTGAAAAATATGTAGTTGAAATATGTTTAGATAAAAGAGAATTGTGACAGTCCAAAAAAAGAAAGTGTTACTTTTATTTAGGGATGGAAAGAGCATTAGAACAACAAAATTTTGGCTTTGTTATCTCAGGGAAAAATGAACTTTGATGTGTTTTTCATTTTATTTAGGAATGGAGGGAGCATTAGAACAACAAAAGTCTCTCGGGACCTTTCCGGGTTATTGTTGTTGCAACATTTTGATTGTTCCCATTGAAAGCATATATAAAATTATAAGTTATTGTTTTTATGCCTTTATGTATGTAGGGGTTCAACTTACAAGTAGCATAGATGAAAATATAAGGCGCATAATACTCAAGGAGATTGGAAATAAGGATGAAAGCACAAATTTGGATACTTATGCAATTGTTGATGCATTTAGTTCTGAAAATGGATTATTTGAAACATAAAAAATAAGCCTAAAACGTGTTTGACATGCACATTTTATCACTTAACGTGTTAACTTAAATATTCTATCATTTTATATATGTTTTTGACTAGTATATTTTCTTCTTTTTGAATAATACATGTTTTTTATTGATTAAATAATAATTGTGAAGTATATATTTTGTCCTAATTATTTAATTATTTTATTTATATCAATTCAAGGATTACATCTCATGAGGCAAATACCAACTGCCTCGAGTCCCAAATTTGCATGATTTTATAGTGCTGATGAATTCTATACAATTAATTTAGACTATATATTTAATGCCACTGGTCCCAACTGCAGGAGATTAAGGCAATAAAATGATGATGATGATGATGATTATTATTATTATTATTATTATTATTATTATTATTATTATTATTATTAACTTGCTAAGTCAACTGCCTCAAATTTATATAAGTGGGAGTAGATTTAGAAAATTTGGGCGAGGGATGACATCAGCCGTATAAGGTGTGGACTGTGGACTTAGTCCCACCCTCTTATGAAAAATAATGATTCATGTTTCACAAAAGAACAATAAAAATAAAGAGCTTTTATGGAAATGTTCAAGTCCATTTTGTACTTCCAAATGCTAACTAAAAGGATGCAAGGAAATATAAGAGGATAGAGGTTACAAGGAATAGCGCACACCTATGCAAGGCACAATATGATACCCATTTTGATAGCTGCATTCCATTCTCTTCAAAGCACTTCAGCTGAGATTCAGAGTTGTGTTAACTTCAGTACTTCAATTTGAGACTAGATCTTTAACAATAATAGCATAGGGCTATAGAGTAACAAAAAAAGTTACAGCTTACTTCCACATGGTATCCAGCTCTTAGAGCGCACATTGCATGGAAAGAAGTGGCGCACTTGCAGCATTGCGTACAGGAACCATGAACTTGTTCACATATTGTGCATGTCTGCAAATACATACAAACAAGAGCATGTCAATAGTCTATGCCTGAGCACTTTTCCTAGTTAACAGTATGAGTAACATTCACTAGCATATCCTCGGTAACTAATTGAATCTAAGAAACCACTAAACCACTCTGGAATTTGGCCATACAGTATGGGGTCACCTTTTTATGATGGAATCTTAGAAACCCCATATATAAATAAGATGGTTCAAAATAAATAAATAAATAAATACCTTAGCAAAGGAATCTGGAGGAATCCTAAGAATACCACTGGCAGGCTCCATTTTCTTCACATTTAAGAAAGCAACCTCAGGTCGAAACCACGCACATGAAACATGAACCCATAAGTTGTCAATATCTGTAGGCTTAAGTGCACCTCCTACAAAAAAAGAGCATCCAGTAAATGCAAGGGTTGAAAACCTACTGACTAATGAGAACATTCAACACTTACCTTTTATAGGACAGAGACAACATTCCCTTTCAATTTCAGGAGTTTCACACACTCGGCAGACCCATGAAGCAAAATCTTGAACTTCAGTGGCTCCATAGCATTCCTGATGGACAGCTATTTGACATCTGAAGACATAAAGAACAAGAAAAAAGGTAACAAATAAACTGATCAGAGGAATATTCAAACCTCGAATCCACAAGGATTTAGGTGTTCAAATATGCTTATCTTAACATCAAATTACTAATAAGAAACATCTTCAGGCACCTGTTGCATATAATTATCTTGTTATAATCCCAATCTTCGACCCATCTACAAATAGCACAACGCTCTGAAGTCCACTTTGCAATAACAGGATTATACTTCTCTG